TTATGACTACCTCTAATTAATTGTGTTTTTTTTTTTCTAAAATGTTATTATTATAGCTCTCATGGTAGTTCTGCTGTCCCTGAAATTGCTCTCATATTTCCCTGCTCTAGTTACACAAGCTCATTTCTGCATCATCACACTGTGCATCCTGCTGGCCTCGATCCTACTGCTGGCACTATGTAATGAATCCCACAATCAAAGGAGGTGATAAAGTGCAACTTGACCGAGAAAACGTGCAGCAAATCGGAGAAACTGTACATTCCCTTTTTCCTGTTAAAAGGACAAACACTATTTGTTGCCTTTTCATCTAAATGAATTTTGAAAACAAATATGCATAATACACATGCTTTTCACACTGGAAAGCAAAATCAAGATGGTACTGGAGCATGAACATCTGTCCAGAAACAGATTTGTGAACACATCTGTCCTCATACATATTACATGTGTGTGTAGATGGAAAAATGTAATATGACCATACTGCTGTCATTAACACATCAGCTGGAATGATAGGCAAGAAAAAAATCTTGCAGGAATGTATGAGACATACTAACTACAATACTCCTCTACTACTGAAATAATCATAAGCTGATCATTGCTGCATTGATGCGCTGTGTTCAAAGCACTTAGGCTGAATGTAGCTTTTACCTTACATTTACCTTCTTCCTGATGGAACCTGACCCCTCCCCCCCCAAAAAAAATGCATCTAATGAGGTTCAGAGTATGTGGCAGGAAAGCTAGTCACAAGTGCTCTTCCATGAGTCATGGAACATTGTTATGCTTCACATCTATGATTGATTGTGTACTGCTGGTACTTCTGGATCAAGAATGAGTCCATAGCAACCTTCTTAGCAGTTCAACTGTGCGGAGGCAAATTATTGCAACTATGTCAGCAACACATCATCTGCAACCAAACACAGCCAAAACCACCTTAGGCATGAGGCAAAGTCTTGTGAAAATCACCTTCACTGAATGTTAGTAAGAAGGCAGTTACAGAATAAATTTGTCACCTAGTATCCCAGTCAGTCAATCACCACATTGCAAGATCATCATCACAGCAAATTACTTGAAGATAACATTATCAACTGGGATCAAAACTGACAAGAACCTCACCTTCTCCCAATATGGATCTGCAGTCCCTTATACTTACACTACACAATATCTGTCAAAGTTGCTCATACTGCACAGAGCTGCAGCTGCTGGTCCAGGCTATGGACATCTCCTCTCCTGACAACCTGTATCAAACCAAATCTCCCAATTTAATCTAAATATTGCTGCATGACAAGCATGGTCTCCACATACATGTATCCTCTCCTGACATCCCGTCATTGCCTGCCATCTGCAGTTTGAAGCTCAAGACTGTGGTACCAGCACACAGAACTGCTTGGGCAGCACCACCAATATCTACAATATTTCAATCCAATAACCCGTCAAGGCTGGTAATGTTTTCAAACTTGGCCTCAAGTAGCTTCCCTTGAGCTTCAAGATTCAAAATACATCCCTTCTGAATGTAATTAGCCTTCAACTGCCAACCATATGCTAACAGAATTTAAGAGGTTACTCTGTTTTTCTTGATGAACCATGCATGCAACAGCATTATTGTGGAGTGATTTCCTTATGTACTGTTTAACTCCATTTAATGTTTATTTGCTATTTCTCTCAATATATTTGAACAGACCTGTAAACTGCTTCAGAAAAAAACTGCAAAATAAAACGTAGCAGCTCCTAGTCATCTCACATAGTCACAGTTACAATTTCTGGTCATTAACACACATTGGTATTGTTTCCATCAGATGGCTCAGCTGGTGGAAGATATCAGCTTGCCATTATGCAGCATTTTGTCCCCTTGATGGATCATATATTCCTTACTGGAATCGTTCCATTACCGTTGCGACTGCCATCATACAAAGCAGATCATAACTTCTCCCTGTCCTGATAACCCTTAATATCGGCGATGTGCTGCCCCTTTACCAAGGACACCAAATGCTGTATACACATAAAAGCTCTTGCAACGGGACTTTATGCACGACTAAGCTCAAAACCAAAGGCATGGTTTTCAAGGAACCTTCAGAAGAAGCACCTGCAATAACATAGATTACGGAATGCTGGTGGGAAATGACCCATATCCATAGGGCAGAATACTATTGAGTATCTTCATCAGACAATCTGCCTCATTCCCCATGTTGTCCAGACTGCCAGTTGGGGGGAAAAGCAATCAGAAATTGAGAAACTGACTGCCTTTCTCTTCAAGGGGAGGACTGATGAGTGAAGGGATGTAGTTAAGTAGAGGTACAAACAATACATCCCCGAATCACCATCTTCTCTGCTCAAAGTCTTGAAACCAATGAGGACATGATAGGATTACAGTCATTGAATGTTATAGGTCACTGGAATGTCTCATTATATGCAGACTACCTGGAGTTTTAGCTGCACAACCACATTGGGTTGTTCCATATGTATACAGACTGCTTGAAACACACACACACATACATATGTGTATACTGTATATGGCAGGTATCAAATGATGCCCAGTTAAGCATTAACAGGTTAGGACATACAAATAATGCATTTTCAGAGGATATACACGAACAGCTAAGAGGATTTAAAATGCTAGATAGGTTAAGGTAAAATATACACGCATTGACCGCAAAATAAATGAAGGCACAGAAAAACACACAACTGCAGTAACTTCTTTTACATCAGGTAAGTTCTGACACTTCCAAAACCCATCGGTGTCATCGCTTAAATTAGAAACAACATGGCTTCAGGTCAAAACAGTGTTTTCCCTACATTTTATCAGTAGCTAAAATTAAATCCCTGGCTAACAGGCTATTTACCTTACAGTCCTTCGACGTGTGGTCTGCATTAGCTAATAATTTAAATGCATTTTCTGGTGGCAAAATTTTAAAGGAACATAAATTAGAAACGCATAATTCTAGGGAAATATCTGCTTCATTCTACATAAAGCGGGCATATACAAACGTAAATTAAAATATAGCTAGCTAGCTGACCGGCTAAATTGTAATAGCTGGACTCGAAAATCGATTTTTGTCGTCGTTCCCCTTCCAAATTGTCTTATTAACGTCGGTTAAAATGGAAGGACGATACCAGCAGCGCGCAACATACCTTCCTTTGTCCTTCATACAAAAGTACGGGTGATTAAAATGAGAATTTCGCAGTAGTCCTTTCGCCCTGTCTTCAGCACTACTGTAGAACCACATTCAATATTTACGCCGAGTGCAGGGTTACCAGAAAGTGTCTAAGACTTAAAACAGACGCGTCACGAACAACCCAACAGTGGCACCTTAATGTCACAGAATATCAAAATAAAAGCCTATTTTTTTGCTCATCCCTTGTACTTTTTTTACAGTCCCCTACAATTACGGCACAGAGTGCTATAGGTCCAACTGACTTTTAACAGCATACAACTTTACATTTTAAAAAACGACTGTTTCACTTTCATATAACTGCAATTAATATACGACAGGCGAAATGACAGCTCATATTCTTAAAGCCAGATCTGGCACCCACTTCTTTTGCATCCACAACAGGAAGTTGCGCAATTAACATATATTGGCTGGCGCACTCTTTTCAGCCGGCTTATCGTACTGCCGCCCGCGTCGGAATCTGCTTTCAAACCTGTACTTATAATTACTGCCTCTGGGCCCTTCCATATCCATTTTATATGGTGGTTCTTCAAAGCTGATACTTAGACTAAAGTACTTCGCAATTGTATGGTTCGAACGCGTAAAAATATCTGTAGCGCCGCATCACTTATCATGACATATAAAACATCCAGTCATGCCTTGTCTTGTTGTCAGTCACACGTGTCTGTGCCCGCGGATGCACTGGCATCGCGTCCAGGACGTTCCTCTACATTGTGCTCTGTAATCCACCATGACGCTGTACTGGATAAGCAATTATAAGACGGATGGAAGGCAGCTGAATTTTATTTTATTTTATTTTATTTTATTTCCAATGGAGGTTTTATTAGGATTAATCTACCATATGTAATATAGCACATATCCCAAATGTATCTATGCCAGTGTGATTCCCTGTGTTATGTTGTCTTTGATAGGATCCAGGCTTTCGGCGACCCTGAACTGGATGAGCTGGAAATGGTACGATGTACAGGCGTCGTTAGGTCCGATCAGTCCGTGTTATATTCCCGAGTATTTTAGCCCCGATGTCAATCTTCCTCCAAAATAAAAAGTCAAGTCCCAGGTAAACTTGACTTAGCCCCTGATCTTTTAAAATTCCCTGGTAGGATGAATGATGTATATGTTTCATACCATGGTCACATCTTTAGGTCATTCTTTCCAATAATAACAACGTTTAAATTATGGATTACTTATTAAAACAAGTAAAAAATCATAAGAATCATCCAATCATTAGAATTTTGTCTTATTTGTTAAGATAAGACCTCATTGTCATTGTAGTTATACAACGAGACTTTGGTTGTTCAAAGAGAGGAAAGCACTGGTGATTAATGCATTTTATGTACTTTATCGCTACCCCACTAAATGCTTCCAAATATTTATGTTCTTTTCCTTTGTTATTTATATTACATGCAATTAGAACTGCTTTTATTGTCTATTTATATAGCATCGGCTTTAGATGATTTTATATAGACAGAGAGAAAGACATGAATTTAGCTCATTTTACAATATATTTACTGGTAAATAATAAGATTATCAACTAAACCGGGACAAATAAAATATATCCAAAACAAAAAATAACGAGAGGATAAATATTACCTCATATTAAAAAAAAAACTCGATGAAAGGACCTAAATATTTTACTGTAATTTATAAAGAGAAGTCACGCTACTTGCTTTAAAAATTATTTCACCTTTGAACAGCGGTCTCATAAATGTTATCGACAGATAGTTAAATATTTTCATATTCATTCAGTAATATGTCAAATGTGGAAATGTCGCACACATTCACCCCACGACAGTAGGTGGTGGTAACAAACTCCAGTGTCGGTAGGAGCGCAAAGAGAAAGTTAGTCTGAGTGAAGAAGAAGAAGCAGCAGAAGAAGAATTCGGAGGCGCCTCACGTGACCGGAGTCTTGTGACCGGCCCAAGAGCAGGAACACAATTTTCAAGAGTTCACCAACACTTTTAAGTAGATACTGCCGAGATCAAAAGGAAAGGGAAATAACGAGGCCTTAAGCGGAAAGGTTGTTATATTAAGAAAACTAAAATCAGGAGGTCTCTAAAATCTAACAACGTATAAATCGGCATTTATTGCTGATATATTAGGGCGACATGCATTGAACACAAAGGGTCTAATGTCAAATTTACCAGCGACCAGAAAGTAGCCGTAGGGTCGGGGAGTGATACTTTCGGTATCCGAAGTTCTTGTTTTTAATCGAGCCCGGAAAACGTATGTTAGATCGGTGCCGTCGTTCTGAAAGCGTGTAGGACGGAATCGAACTTGAAGGAGCAACACGTCGAATATGGACAGCAAACCGCTGCTGCAAGAGAGACCTCCTGCCTACAACGCGGTACCCGGTGCTTATGAATACGGACCACAGCATAACTACGGGGCCATTGCTCCGCCTGCCCAGCCGCAGCCGGGATTCCAGCAACCACCGCCGCCGTATCAGTATCCCGAGGGACCAGGTAAGCGACACCTCGCCGCCGTAACCCCATTTAACTTCGCCCCGTTTGCTTTGGACGACGGCTTTTCTATTTAGGTATTCAGTGTTTAGGGTTTGTCTTACGGCAGCTTATCGGTGCTAATTTGTGTGTCGAGCTGCACTCTATAAACTGCTGTAACTATAAAACGTTAATACAATGTCGGCGTTTCCAATCTGTCCACGCAACAAACTCTTCAAAAGTGTTCATGTGCATCTTTTAGAGAGAAGGCTCGCTCATTAGCCCTCGTTAATTATGTACTAAGCGCATTATTTAGCGCACTGATAAGCCATTAGTCCAATTTTTAAAATATGTCAAAATATTTGTACACGATATTGCGCTGAATCCATGTTAGTAGGCTGATTTGTAATCTGCTTGTCTGACAGGACTGTTCTATTTCAGACTGGTGTTCAGGCTGACTTATCCAGCTCTATAAACAGATAAAATATGGTTATGTTTTTCCATAAAAGTGCTTTCCTGCTTTTCATTTTTGACAAAACAAGTTTTTGTAACATTATTATACATTGATATTGTGTATTAGTCAACAAAACAAATGCTTGTTTTCATTTGCTTAGTCCCTTTTCAGTGGTGTTCATAGGAACATGTATCTAGTGCTGATATGCAACTAGTGGTGTCTAATAGTAGTTTTACTGAAGGACAGAGTAAAAATACTTTTCTTTTTCACACAGGATACACACACCCGTCCCTGCCAGTGCCCCCTGTTGCCCAACAGCCAAACTACACAGGGACGTACACCATCATCCAGCCCTCTGTCGTGGTGGTGGGAGGCTGCCCAGCTTGCCGGTGAGTTGTGCACTCCTGCTTTCACTGACCCTGTTTCACGGTGTACTGCACAGCACACAGTTACATGTAAACCAGCATGTTTGCAGATGAACATGCAAAATTTAATTTAAAGTAGTTACTCATTATCTGCGGCTGCGTGGTCAAGCAGTCTACCCAACAGGGTTTGTGAGAGTAACTTACTTCTCATTAGCGGTATCAACCAATGACATGTGATATGAGGTTGTGTAGTGTATTGATTCCATGTGGTAATTAAACTGAAATTAGTTCTGAGATCTTTTCTTTTACAGAGGTTCATGTTCCCTTATTTTAAATAAGCACAAGGTATCATTTCAAAGAAAATGGATTTTTTAAAGTTCCTCAGCAGCAACTAGTGTTTATCACATGCTTGAAATAGATCAATATTGGTAGTATTTAATATTGTTAATATTTCAATGTAGAATAGAGTTTTATGCTTCAGTAGCATGTAATAGTCCCACATTCATCTTTAATTTAACTCAGCTGGTTAATTGGGGGAGAAGTAGTGGCAGGTAACACGGACACATTGGACAAATGATGTCACGGCTAATCTGTGTGTATATATGTATATTATATGTATATCCGTCTTCTACCTGCACTAGAGTCGGCGTGCTGGAGGATGACTTCACCTGCCTAGGAATTCTTTGCGCCATTGTCTTCTTTCCCATTGGGATCCTCTTCTGCCTTGCACTGCGCCAAAGAAGGTGTCCCAACTGTGGAGCCACCTTCGGATAGGCCACAACGTGCCGGCTGGGGAGGCACGGCCTCCGAAGAAATTCCTTTACTGTTCTTTTGATTTTTTTTTTTTTTTTTTTTAATTGCCATTCGCCATATGCACTTACCTCCGTCAGGCTTATGTTTGTAAAATTACCTTGTGGCAGCCAAACCCAGATATGCATGTGAAAACGTGTAGCTCCCCCCCCCCCCCATTCCTGTTCACATGCATGGAAAGGAGGAAAGCAAGTAACTTTGTCATCTTGCAATTCTGTACTTTACTATTCACCTATTAGCTGGTGCCTTTGAAATAAACATACATAATCATTTTATTTTTAGTAATGCAGGAATCTGAACAGGGAATGTTCCATCTGTATGTATGAATACCAATGAAAGACTGAGGGGGTGAACTGAAAATGGAGTGGTGTTCTGTGGATGGAACACACCCCCCCACCCCCCTTGGTGCATCCTAACCCACAACCAACCAAAATAATATGCTTCCTTTTTTCTCTCAAAACAGATTGTCTGTCTTCTGGTAATTGGTGGTTATCTATCATTCCATTTGAGCTTTGCTTGAAATATCACAAGGGCATAATTCCCTATTTTTTCAGCGTCTAAGCAATCATATTAGGAAGTGCTTTTGCACCTAATTGCATCGCAAACAGGCATCTCTAACCAGTCAAAAATTATCCTTTCCCTTAAATGACGTAAAGGAAACATTCGTTGGAGGAAACCATTTTAGTAGGAACTGATACTATAGAAACTAGGTGAATGTTCTACAATTGTCATTGTATGCTCTGTTTTTCTAGCACATCATCAGTGATGTATTGCATTCGACTGCTATTAGCATTGACCTTAGGAATCACTTTTGGACCTTGGTCATTTAAAATGCAACACTGTGAATGATTTCAGGGAAATTTGTGAAGGTATGTTAGATGGAAAAAAACCTGAAGAAAAACTGAATTGATTCAAGTATCAAGCTCTTCAAGATATCAATTCTCTTCTAATGAAAGACAATCAAGTCTGTTCAGCTGTGTTGCATTCATACATTACTGTAGGTTAAGGTATAAATATTTCACAGGCATTTTACCTTGAAATACACTAAACCTATGATTTATTGTAACTTTTATATAACAATTGTAAATAAAATTGAGCATGTAATTGGTCTGGACTGAATTCTTGGTTTGGTTATCTCAAAAAGTTATGGATTATAACAGGTTAAACAAATCCTCTTTTATTCCGGTAAGTTAAAAAAATAATTACACAATATCGACATTTTACGAGTAGATTTCTTTTGGCAGGTAACAAAACACCCAACACTGGGCCTCGAAATAATGATCAATCCATAGTTAAAATATGAATTCCTTTATGGTTTCTCAATTCATTAAGGTATGTCAAGAAAATGGATGATCGCTTTGGACGTGGATACCTATGGGATCAGAAACAAAAAATGTAATTTTAGCCAGACAGACTAAGGTATGGGGTCATCAGAAAACATGCGACTTTGTGCGCACACAAAAAACAGAGGGAAAAATGTTTACTGAAAAGTGGAGGATGTGCAGAAACAGATTACCAGTAAATTAACAATAAAGATACAATATCTGCAGAACTAAAATGCATGACGTATTTCTCCACACACTGTCAAACTGATGTTTTAATAATTAGCGAGTGCACCTTCAATCCAAAAAGAAGTTTGTTTTTCTTTAGAAGTCTGACAAGTTTTCTTGTATCACCACAAATGAAAAATGCATTTGTATTTGAAAAGGGAAATCAAAACTATTTTTGAAATACTTTATGTATGATTTATTTATGAAATTGCCTACACTACATTTACCCCAAGAAGCATATTTTATATGTAACAAAAATTGATAGCCTTGTATTCCTGTGATATATATGTGCCAGGATATTGTAACTGGTGGAAAAAAAACTACAAACAATAGCGGTGAAGTACTGAACTCACCTGACAAAGAAAAATCTGCACCTGTATAATAGATACAATAGCAACCTTTAACATATATGAATAAGTAATGCAAAAAGATCATTCCATATCCCATACAGAACACACATTTAGCGTCCTATGGCAAATTAAAAACCTTTACCAGGAAATTCTCACCAAAAAGTCAGTTTCTCCATTTAAAACATACATTTCTCTTCAAAGAAAAAAAAATTGATTTAACACTTTCTAATATATTTGTCCATATAAGGCAATTCTTGTGTACAGTCATTTGTAACAAAATTTAAAATATAGCAGTGAATTATATTGAAAGTATAAATAAACTGTCTCTGCATCTCAATGTGAGTAGCAGGAGCTTCACAACACTTTTGACATAAATGGGCTTCTACAGCAGGTTCTCCAGGGCAGCCCGTCTCGTTCTCAGTTCAGCTAAGCCCTCATCTCACCTCGACCTCCAGCCGGTTACAGTGCACTTCAGAGAGGGAGGGGAAAAAGGTTGCAGATTCCATGATGGGGATGAGGAGATGCTGGTTAGCCGAAGAGCATGAGGTGGAGCTTACAGCCTGTCTCTCTTACGCACGCACGCACGCACACGCACACACACACACACACACACACACACACACACACTTGTGGAATGCACAGGGTCTCTGCCCATTAGATGACTGGTGCCGATCTGTCGTTTGTCACCGTTGGTCGCAGCTTAACAGTGGCAAAGGGATTCCCTCCGCTGTGAAGGGAAGAAAATTGGTTAAGATGTTAGTTTGGTTATTAGTGCTGTCCAGAGGATGCAGATGAAGCAACAGTCCCATTCGAGAGAAATACTCACCTGAGGAAAGGAGGCTTTGAAGTACCATTATATTCAGACACCTATAAATGAGAACAGAAATAGTTCATGTAGGAAATGGGGAATTAAAAATCTGACCAGGAATGTTAACTGTTTGAATCTACATTAACTTCAGCTTCAGGTTATAAGCCTCTTTGAGATCTACCATCATGAATACAAAGTAATAATGGCTTAAGAATATGACTTCACTTAAAAGTTTGTAATTTACTTGAAACTGGCTGTAACAACAGACAACAGAATTCATCATATCATCCACTGCAAGAACTGCTGGCGTTCTGAGTGCCGAAAGTGAATCATCCTGCCTAAAACCGCATAATATTGTGAAGAAAAATGGAATGCTTCTTTGTCTAGCTGTGCGCTGCTGGAAATTAGGAAGCGTTCCAATATCCGCAAAACTTTACTGGAGCATCAAACTGACTATGCTCCTGCCATGTAAACCTTTAAATAAGGTGTCGAAAATATCAACATAAGGCACCATTATATATACATATATAAAAGCATGTATATATATATGCTTATAACCAGTGGTTATAATAAACATACATTTTAAGTCCATGGTACCTAAAATCCGACCTTTAATATATGTTTAGCATTAATACAAATAACTAATTCTAGGTAGTTTGTCATTTCAAGGGCGAGTGACTTAATAGTAAACAATACTGCATGTGTAGGACAATTTTAAAGTCAATTCTTCTCTGTTATCAGTTGTAAAACAATATGTGAACTCATCTATCTGGGTACACATTCCCTAAAAGTTTCCTCTATATGGTGAAATAGTTAGCGTTTGATGTCTATAGCGAATGTCTATAGCCCAGCTAAGTGTGTCACCAAACTGTCAACAGGTTTAAGTCATAATTGCTAAGACATGCCACTAGAGGGCAGATTCGGACAGGAGAGAGCAACAGCGGCAGAACTCAAAGGAGCTGTCCAAACTTGTATCCTGCCTCCAGGGCAAAGTCACCTCTCTTGGATCACGTGGGCACGTGGCAAATCTGTTCTTCCACCAACAGCAGCATATTTCTGCCAAAATCCTTAGGCAGCAATTACAGCCAAAGGACATTTAATCAGTGGAAGAAGCAATCTCAAGAGGCCAACAGTTTCACTCTGAAATCAGCTGACTCAATAGAGGCTCTAATTGTCCATGCAGGCCGTACAAGAACTGCTCATATCCCTTCAATTTCCTGTCCCAGTGTAGGAGCAAAACCAAGCCAGGAGCAACTGAATGTACCCACCCAATATTCTGAAGATGTCTGCAACAGTGAGAATGCTGACATCTAACTAAACATACTCTAGAAGGTCTAATCAATAGAACATTCTGCCCAAACACATTTCTAAAATTCCCAGTTTTTTTTAATACTATATTCTTAATATCAGTACATGAGCAGTCTACTCCTAGGAGCAAATATATCCACAACTATGCTTCCCACTTTACATTTTGCTACTGTGTTTAACGAAAACTTGTCTGTTGCTGGTTTTTACAAGCCAGCTTGTGTTACCCGAACTCAATATCATGAATAGAGCCGAGGCTGTTCCCTAAATGACCCCCATTTACCCCACCGGCAGCCGCTCGCGGGAGGAGGGAGCCCAGTGGTTTCAGGTTCGTCCTCGTGGTGAAATTCTATCGGAAGCGGGAGCCTGACCCCGGATGTGCAGTGCTAGCCTCTGCCTCCCACTATGCCGCTATGTCCCACGACCACACGGGGCCTTTAATATTACATACCGCTACAAAAGGGAGGCCGAGCCAAGTGAGGAAGCACTATGCAGATGCCTTGAGCGGTCGAACAAGAGCCACAAATCACAACCACTGTCAGTGCCAAAGAGCCTGGCTGGGAGCAGAGGCGCCCCCTGCTGGCATGCACCACATACAGGTAATTAAGGTGAAAGGGATCTTCAGATACTGCATATTACATTGATGGAGACTTGGCACTAGCGTCACAGAAATAAATATTGTATTGTGACATCTCTCCAGGAATTTGACTTTCTGCCTGGACAGGATTACTGGGTACAAGTAGTCACACCATTTGACCATCACTATGACTGTAAGCTGTTTACCACATAAATATTTAAAGAAAACAGCATCCCAACCCAGGGCAACCGTGCAGCCATGACAGGGATTCTCTTACACTGAGAATATTAATAAGAAACTAAACTTTTTTTTTTTTTTATACTGACGTCAATGTATTGATTTTTTGCAATTTGACTGTACAAACATTTTGCTGAAGTCTAGTTTTTAGAAATGATTTCCTTGGTATTTCATACACTGTGAAAGCAAATAAAATAGTTAAAAATAAGATCTTGCATGTGTACTGTCACATTACTGTAGTTGATAAGTGTAGGTGTAGTTAGAACATATGATGTTCAGTAGTCCTACACACTGGCTATTAAAATGCTTTACATAATGGATATTAAAATTGTTTAAATACAAACAGACTTTAGAAAAGTGTTTATTACATTGAACATCTCTTCTCCCACATATTGGTTTGTTGCAATGTTCATTTTCTCCCTAAGTGGTCAATAAAAAGACTGAACAGACAGTAGATGAGGAAATGGTTGACTGTCTTCATCTCACTTTCAGCAAGGTAGGTCTCCAGTGACCCAAGGTAACCACTGACGGTAATAAACACCTCTCATCAATACTTCCTTAACAAGAAACCTCTAAAACTCAACTCCAACGACAGCTTAGAATCACTAACACACATGCCTGCTGAGAAGGGCAGCCATTTCCTAATCTCATTACCACAGGGGAGCAGTTACAGGAAGAGCCGTGGGCCGCATGCTGACCGTGTTCTCTGGCGAAGGCGTCGACGTGGAGCTCTTCGTGGGGGAGTTGCTATAATCTGGCGGAGGGAGCTCCATGCTGACTGGCTCTTTCTCCACAAAGCTGGCCAGGTTCTGCACAGGCGCTGGTACCTCTGTGCTGGGGCTGGAAACAGCAGCCAGAATGGTAGGAGACCATCCCCAGCAACTTCTTTAATTATCATGTTTTTTTATGGCAAACCCCATATGTAAGGTACTATCTGGAGGAGCATGTTCTATATTATTCCAAAGAGCACACCGTGTTCAATGCACACCATTCAGCCCTCACACCGCAAGTGCTCGGAGTTCACATCAGCATTTGCAAAACTGACATTTGGAAATTTCTGTTCTCAAAGCTGCATGATGAACATGCGCACACAAGTAAAACTTTGTGCACAGTGGTAAAAAGGACACTAAAGTATACACAAAGGGTTAAGAGAAACATTTTCCTACATGAGAGGTACTAAATTGCAAAATTTAGATTTATTACATATTATAGATGTGCATCAAAGTTATACTCTGGGATGTTACATTTATTAGGAAGCAAATTTCTCTAAGCCAGAAGAAGAATGGTATGAGTAGAAACGCAGAACGGAAATACAGAACTAATTTCATGAACTTATCTAAAAATGCTGGGAAGTCGAGGTGCTGAAATAAGAAACGTGCATGCGTGCGGGTTTCACCTGTTTTTGACCACTGGCTCTATGTAGGGGCGACAGTAGGATGAGGGAAACCAACCCCGTCTGAAAAAGGCAGTGAGAGGAGGAGCATTAAAGTGGCCACAAACAATTAAAAGTAAAAGAACGCTAAGCTGGGATTTCAGCACAGGATCATCTGAAATCATTTTTAATATACGTCGTGAGTCTGCACAGTATTTATATAAAATGTTTTATTAACACAATATGTGTGAACGAAGCACATAATTAAAACTGGATATTGAAAGAGGGCTGGCTGCCCAGAAGGGAATTAGAGGAGCGAAGGATTGAGAAATCGCGCACCTTTAATTAAAAGTGCTCAGCCCCCTGTCAGGCAGCAAGGCCTGTTATGTCTGGCGTGCTCTTTCAAAGCTTTGTGCACAGAGTTACATGGAACTGCAGCTGGTTCCTGTAACTGCATTGTTAACTGAATGCTGTGGCAGCTTTCATGTGGGCTGTACTCCTCACTTTACACAAAACAATGTTCTCCTAAGTTTTTAAGCATTTAATTATTCGTCGGGGTCATGACATGATACCAAAAATGTCAAAGGTGAGCTTACTGAAGGAAATGTGACATAATGAACATACATGTGTGTAGTACTTTGGTGTGGACTCCTTGATGCACATCAAATCAATACAATTTCACATGGCACTGCAGAAAGTTGTATACAGTAATTTTTCACTTAAGTATATACAAACTGCCTTCTAAATGATCACTTTAAATCATTCAAATGATTATACCACAATTGAACAAAGGGATCACGCACATAGGGGATTTCCTTCCATCTTAAAGAAAAAATATTATAATGACCATTCTAGCATTCCAACAGAGCTGTTTAAAAAAAGATAAACCATTTAGGAAAAGTCTTATCTGGTTGCTTAGATACAACCTTACAGACCCAGATGTCGTTTACTTTGAAGGAGAAATCTGTTTGAAACCAGCTCTCATTATCTCAGCTGGTAAAAGCCAAATTAATAGAATATTACACTTTCTAGCAGGGGAAAAAGGTGATGACTCTTCCGGTAAGTTCAACATACAGCAGCCAGTGTTTTCAGCAACACACACTGGCAGCTGCCACTCATGTTGCTTGGCAACTATTATCCTGTTACTGCTTTTTAAGACAAATCTAATCCAGTGGCAGAGAAAGCTATCTGTGAATACAGAACATTTCAATAACGTTCTTCTGGGATCTGCACAAGCATTGTGTGGCTCTGTGGGTTAGGACTGTGTGCCCGTGATTGATAGGTCACAGGTTAAAAATCCTGTGGCTGACAGAGTGATTTCGCCATCGGCCCTGAGAAAGGCCCTTATCCCCTACAGCACCAGTAACACTGTCTGACCCTGTTGTCTAATCCTTACTTATACAGTGCTTTGTCCAAAAGTGGCTGCTAAATGCAACATTATAAATATATATGTCAGCAGACCCAAACTAACGCCACTTGGCAAAGGTTACTTGAATAAGTAATATAAATATTTCCTACAGCAAGGAAGTTGATGCATTAATGCGTGTCACGCGGACTACTAACTTTAGGGTGCCTTTACCTTTTCCCTCTTGTATGTTGATTCAGCCGCAGAGGACACTTTGTGCCTATTTAATAATTAACATTCAAGGCAGCTTTCCACTACATCTGTGACCATAACCGACTATGACCTCTGATCTCATTTCAATAATATCTCCATGGAATAAGAGGAAAAGCTTGTTTTGATGCAAAGGTTAAAAGAACTATAGATTATTTAAACTGGAGCCAGACTTGGTAAATAACACAAAACTATGATGTACTTTGGGCACTTTGTAATTGTATACGAATGTGATAAACTATTGAGAATGAACAGGCCACCCATAGAAAGCCACATTTGATGTAGATCACCACCTTAATTTACAGGCAGGATTTAGCACCCTGTAGTCAAACAGGACCTTAATTACAGATTAGGCTGCAGTAACTCTGGAATATGCATTGTTCTTTTGCAAATGTCAGTCAGCCCCCATTCCACTCAGCTGCCACTTCCCTTTGTCACTCGACGTTTCCACCAGGACACAGGTCGACACAGTACTGCAAGTGAATTCAGGTCTTACGCGGATCCTTCGCTTTTTTGCATGCGTTGAAGATTATACATCCTAGAGAGGATGCAGGCAGCGCACAGCCTGCAACGCATAGCACGGAACATTTCTGGTAGAGCCCTGAAGGTGTGGCCAGTCCATGGAGTCCGATTAGAAAAAGCCAGGTTTAAATATATGCACAATTCCAGCACAGTGATGTCATGTCCCCGGATAAAGCGCTGTTTGGTTTCTGTTAACGTTGGACCTTTTCACAAATTCCACCAAAATGCTGTCATCTACAGATGAGGCAGAGACTGTGTACTCGTTCCCCTAGGTGGCGTGTTTTCCCTCCATAACAGGATGCCGTAAGGAGGCGGAGGGTGCGCTTGTTTATAGCCCTTGAGTCAGCAGCCTATGGAGGACTTACCGCCCGGACTTCTCCAACTCTCCGTACAGCCAGCCGTCCTTCTCCTCCGGGACGAGGATTGTTATGATGTCACCCTCATCGAAGCTGAGCAGCGTGTCGTTGTTGCCGGCCGTGTGGGGGAAAATGGTTCGCACCTTGGGCCTCTGGGCCACGATCATGCCCATGGACACAGACCGGGGCAGCGTGCCCTCTTCGTTATTATCTGCCAGGCAGAGAGTGCCCACTACAGGTCATCAAGGGATATAATCAGTATTGAGCTGCAACGGTGCATTCTGTTATATTCTGTGATGCTGGAACAGTGAGTCATCAGAGCTAAAAACAGTACTGAGAGCATTAACTGTTTAAAAAATTCCGTCCATTTCCCATGACTGCTATTCTAGCAGTTTCCCCCAATCCCGTCCTCGGGGGCCCACAGCCAGTCCATGTTTTTGCTCCCTCCAAGCTCCCCGTCAGATACATTTTTGCACCGGGAGCTGGGAGGGAGCAAAAATGTGGAGGAGGCAGGGACACCCTCGATGGGAAGCCGGACAATCCTAAGACACACACTCACACTCTTCACATACACAGAGCCAGGTAATTAATCTGCAAATGTGGTGATAGAGATGATACATCCTGTTTAACTTACAAAATATAAATTTTGCTCATAGCTTCTGAACCATAACCAGAAAAGGGCCCGAGTGCCAGAACGTACCAGAGATGCGCTCTGCTGTGACGGGGGCCTTGGGCTCATCCTGGTGGAACATGTTAGCCAGTGGGCTAGTTTGGGCCTTCAGCGTTGGGGCTGGGGGTGGAATCAAGGTGTCTGTGTTGTTCTGAAGAGGGAAAAAAGAGAGAACTGTCAGCTTACTGCCACAAGAATTTATGACAACAGCCTGGAGGTGGGGAAGACTGTATTTTTACTGTGTTAGACCTGCATCACATATAACTTCCAAATATGTCCTTCACTGGAATGACTGGACATGCATAAGCTGGCTGGATGATAGCCCAGACAATACATCAGTGATGCCTGATATATCAGAATCAGTCAGGGAATTGACTCTTCGCTTATTACAATGATCATTTAACAACACTGTCATCATCACCAACATCATCACTACCACTGGCTGCTACATGCAGTGATAGAATCCCTTGTGACTGACCATGGTGTGGTGGTCCACCTTCGGGGACGGCTGTGGTGTGGTGGACAGCGGGGTGCGGAGACCTTCAATCATAGACATCACACTTTCTGGGACCTTGGTGGCATCTCCGCATTTGTCCTGCCAGCTGGGCAGCTTTGCAGAGAGCATCTCCTTGGCCTGCAGTGGGGGGTCCAGCCATGTTTAATCAAAGACAGGTCTTGGGAAAATGGTGTCATTTCCAGACCTAACTTACTGGAATGATATTGGCGACAAACTGCATAATAGTAATTGATAGGTTTTTTATCACCCAGATTGCCAGACATAACACTCCTATAGCTCTTATAGCGCTTGTCGAAATTACTAAACAGACATGTTTAACTTTAAACATAATGTATTTAAATATGATCAATCACCTCAATCGCCCTAACTACGCATTTTCAAGTGGCTTAACACCAAGTGACTAACGAAAATCATCTCCCATAAGGCTAACTGCAGAAAATTGTGTGAAGACATATTTATGGGTCAGGGAGATAAACAAAATAAGAAAATCATCTGCAGCAAAATACAGTAGAAGAGTTTGCGGATAAGCGCCGGATTTCCATGTGTCACCTTGTCGTGGAAGGTGGACATGTGGTAGGAGAAGTTGCAGTGCTTGTCAACCAGGAAGCAGAACCTCCTCTTCTCCTCCAGAAGGGCTTCCCGGCAGCCATCTGCCACGAACTTCTGCATGTCCATCTGACGGACGGTGATCACCTCCAGGCACTGTGGTGAGCGGTCACATGACATCGCCCCGTGAGCTTTACAACTACAGACAACTACTGTAGCATAACAACAATACAACTTACTGACACCTGGAGCGAGTTCCAACAGAACTGCCTCCGGTTAGAGATGTCACAATGGCTGTGTGCATATGTGGCGTAATTATACAGTTTTTGCTGAATTCTGTTCCAGATCTGATCTTACCAACCGTGTGCACCTTTGCTGCTTGTGGCATAGTAAGACTATCAGACACTTTTCAGAGGTCCTGAGTCCTGGCATGCAGAGATGAGTTTCTGGGCATAGCAGAAGGCCATTTTATGAATTTTATTGCTCTCCGCACTGTTGATCCCGGCTTAATCACAACTTTTTGTAGAGTGTCTGTTAGCAACCAAATTCAGCTTCAAAGCACTCACCCCACGCAAACAGACAAACACGTGCATACGCACACAGACCTGTAACCATGTCTTTCTGGGGGCCGCTCATTCATTTCCAAGGCAAAAATGCTAATGCTAACTATGACAACCTTAGCCCGACCCAGTCCTAACCACAGCCATACTGTAAGTAACCAAACAAAATTCAAAGTACATTTTTTGATTGCAGTCACGGATTTTTATGAAACTTAGTTTTCCCTTATGGGGACCAGCAATATTTGGGTATATCTGGAGTGTGCGCATACTGTACACACACGTGCTCACACACACGCGCTCACACACACGCGCTCACACACACGCGCTCACACACACGCATGCACACCTGCACAGAAGTGCCAGCGGACAGTGACTTAAGAACGAAACAGAATAAAAACAAAGTGCTGGGCTGTCTCTACCACTTATTCATTCCTCTGCAGGGTTGCCATGGTGATTGTAAAAGGCATTTCGTCTGTGACGTTTCAGTTTCTCTGTACTGTGACAGCCGCCTGTAGCTCCCAGCCTGCTGCCCTATTGCCTTATGATCCCTTACTGCTGTATTTATGGCCACAAGTAGGGCACCATTTAACAGAGAGATGATGGTCTTTCAGTGCTATATAAAAAAAAAAATCAACACAACAAGGGCCCCCAAAACGACATATTACAGATCAATCAAATACTTTCTCATGAACACAGGTTACGCATAAACAATGTAAAATGATTAATGTGCAGCGAGGGAAGACTGGCTGGTAAACCTTTATTGTTCCATCCTTTTACCAGCTTCTCCAACAAAAGTGCCACAGTATTGGACTGGATCCACTTTCAGGAGAGCTGTGTTCCTTTTTAAATACCGCCCTCTACAGTCACCCTCACACTGACAACGAGCTTCCTTTTTAGGTGTAAAGGAAACCCAGGGCTCTATCTAAAAGGGCAGGGCAGTACTGATCCCCAGATGACTCACGGACCATATATGCAAAACAATGTATTGTACATCACATACATACATACATACATACATACATACATACATACATACATACATACATACATAC